CGTTCAAAGAGTTTGCAGACACAACTTGTGAGAGCAATAGGGCGAAAGTCCTTAGGGGAAGTACCCAGAGACCCCGGTTTGCGAACAGGGAGGACAACGGCATCGAGCCAGTCCTCAGGGACTGACGACGACTCCCAGATCCGATTATACAGACTCAGTAAATACCGAGACGAGCTCGGAGGGAGATGGCGAAGCATCTCATAATGAATACCATCGGAGCCCGCCGCCGTAGAACCGCAGAGGGCCAGGGCAGAACGAAGTTCAGAGAGAGAGAAGGGATCATTATAAGGAAGCTGAAGATGAGTGCAGAAATCTAAAGGACGAGACTTAAGGACAGGTTTACGAAGAAGGAAAGATTGGGGAAGATGAAGACCAGAGCTAACAGAAGAAATGGGAACCCAGTTCGGAAGCGACCTGCAACGGGTCCGCCACAAGAGTATCATGGAGGTGAAGGACCGGTGAAACATCGGGAACGAACTTACCCGCTATCTTGCGGATACACTTCCAGATCTGGGCCAGAGGGGTTTCGAACGTAATTGTTGAGACATATGATGCCCAACATTCACGTTTAGCCGAACGGATGGCCCTACGGGCCACCGCACTCGCTTTCCGAAAGAAAAGAAAAGAATCGGTCGTCTGCCTACGGCGGTGCCTCTTCCAGGCTGCACGCTTACAGCGGACAGCCCGAGCACAGTCCGCATTCAAGGTAAACTAAAATATTCACCAGGGAAGCACAGTCCGCATTCCACGCACTTCCGCGGACCCCGAGAGGAAGAGCGAGGAATAGAGCGGAGGGCAGCGTCGAAGACAGTGTCATGAAAAAGGAGGAGAGCGCGAGAGAGAGGCAGAAGGGAGAGGTCAGAGAGAGCAGCACTGAGGGTAAATAGGGTCCAGTCTGACTTAGCAAACTGCCACCTAGGGAAAGAGAGGAAAGGGCTTAGAGAAAAAGTTAACAAGGATGGGGAAATGATCACTTCCATGGAGGTCATCAAGAACCTGCCACGTGAAATCTAAGTAAAGAGAAGAAGAGCAGAGAGAAAGATCAAGACAAGAAAGGGTGCGAGTCCGAGAGTCCAAATGAGTGGGCTCACCAGAATTCAGAAGAGACAGGGAAGAAGAGAGGAGAAACGGCTCAAGGAGGCGACCCCGGGTATTCGTCAGAATGTCACCCCAAAGAGAATGACGACAATTGAAGTCACCCAGCAGGAGCACAGGCTCCGGCAAGGAGTCTAAATGGTGGTGTTTCAAATCAGGAAGAGAGAGCGGGACACTCGGGGGGGAGATAAATGTAACAAACTGTGTACCATTTCCCCACAAAGATACGAGCAGCAGAACAATGGAGAGGCGAAGGAAAAAGTAAAGGAACAAAGGGAACATCAGCACGAATCAAGAGAGCAGAAGAATTAGAAGCCCCAGCAATGGCTGGGGGGGGGGGGGGGAGAAAGGAATAGCCACGAAAACGACCAGGACGAGCACCAAGCATTGGCTCCTGGAGACAGACACAAAGGGGCGAAAACCGCGAAATCAGAAGTTGGAGTTAGAGGAAATTGGCGTAATAACCTCGAACGTTCCATTGAAGAATGGACAACGACGAGGAGAAAAAGGACAAAAACAGAGAACAAGGAAGAAACCAAGGCGAAAGAGTAACAAGAGTACGTAAAAAAATATCAGGGTCGGGATCAGGGTCAGCAATGTCAGGGGGCATGGGTAAACTGAGCAAAGACGGAGGGAAGGAAACGGGAGAACAGATCAGAGGTGGGCGGGCGGGGTCCGGAGGAGGAGGAGGAAGAGGAGGAGACAACGGAGAGGAGCAGTCAAGGACAGCAGCAGGAAGAGGGGAAGTAGAAAGAGGGGAGCACACCCCAGCAAGAGCAGCAACCGAAAGGGAAGCAGGGGCCAAAGAAACCTCCATAGCAGGAACAGAGGGCGCAATCACTGAAACGGGAGGGGAATGAGCAACAGAACCAGAAGTAGGAGCCGAGGATGAAAGCGAAGCCTTCTTACCCGCCGGGGAAGAGGAAGGAGAGGAGCCAGGCTTACGCTTCTGACTTGACGAGACCGGTGTCCCAGCAACTACGTATCGGGCAACGGATTCCAGTCTCTCAACATGAGAAGCCGAACGAGAGCACACACGACGGCCGCTAGGAGAGCGATGGACATCCGCCCACACCGACAGGCGGTGGAGAGAGCCGATAGATGGAGGAAGAGGATGGGAAGGAGGATCGGAGGGAGACGAGGAAGAAGACACAGGAGACACGACAGACCGGGTAGAAGGAAGGGGAACCCCGGATAGAGGACCAGGAGGAGGATCCTTCGGGAGAGAACCCAAAGGAACAGAGGGGGCAGTAGGCGCATCAGGGTCCAAGGCCCGGAAACGGTTGTGAGTGAGGAAGGCGGGAAGGACGAGGAGAGGAAGAGCGCAACACGCGAGCATAAGAGATATTAGCATAAGGCGGGAGCCGGCGAACCTGGCGTCTCGCCTCAGGAAAAGATAAACGCTCCCGGTGCTTCAAGTCGAGGACGGCTGCCTCAAGCTTGTAATGGACACACGCACGGGAGAAGGTAGGATGGGCCTCACCGCAGTCGAGGCAACGAGCCTGGGGAGAAGTGCACTCCGACTTAAGAGTGACCTTCGCCACCACACAAAGGACAGTGTCCCGGAGCAGCGGAGGGCACCATGCCCAAACCTCCAGCACTTGTTGCAGAGCCGAGGAGAAGGAATGTACTCCTGGACAGAGCACCTGGCACCAGCAAGAATGACAGAGGGTGGAAGGGTCCTACCATCAAATGTAATCTTCACAACTCGGAGGGGTTGACGGCGACTACCACGAGGGGGACGAGTAAACGTGTCCACCTGGAGAATAGAATGGCCCTGGGCAGCAAGGATATGTCGAATATCGTCGTGGCAGTCGCGCAGGTCCCGAACACCGGTCGCAACATGGGGCGGGAGGAAAATAGTGCCAACACTGGCATTCAACTGAGCGTTCTTCGAGACCCGAAAAGGGGTCTCGCCAAGGCAGGATAAGGCAGCCAGGCGGGAAGCAGCATCCTGAGAAGGAGCAGCAACGACACGTGTACCGAGACAAAGTGGGGTTGAAAGTAATGGAGGCATTCACGGAATCAACGAGATGTCGATGGAGGGAGAAATCGTCAGGAGGCGCAGAATCGAGAGGGAGATCAAAATATTTGGTCCACGAAGCGGGACCAAACAAGGCTCGATAGGTAGCAGAACTGGAAGGAATCGAGCAAGGGCGGCAGTGACGAGGACTTCGATGAGAACCCCCAGAGGGGTTAAAACGCGCAGTAGTTACAACTAGAGAAGGAGCCGCGCCAGGAGACGAGGTAGTCACCACTGGGGGCTTGGGGCTCGACCCAACCACAGAGGGAGGGGAGCCAGGGGAAGGAGTCAGAGGCCAAAGGAGGAGCAAGGTCGGGGCCCAATGCAGCGGAGGCTACAGACCCCGGTCTTCCAATACGGACCGACTCGGGGGCTTGGTCGCCCACCCCTTGAGCCCGAGAAGGTACACCAGAAGCAGCCGAAACAGGGGTTATCATTACGAAAGGAAGAATTCATTCACTAATGTGCCCCCACACCCACCATGGAACCACAATTAGAGGCAGGACACCCAACAAGAAGCTATCGCTGATCTTGCCGGGGCCTCCTAGGGGTGCGTCGTGAGTATACGCCCCACAAACGCCACCTTAAGAAACCGACAGTCCTTCGAGATCAGGTTCAGTGACGAAAGAGGGATCGACAATAAAAGGTTCCCCTCGCTCTCAAGGTCGGGTACTACAGTTCTATGGGTGCAAGAGTATGCCTCCTCAAGCACCCGGGCGTCAAAATAGAAGTAGTTCAAGGGAAGAACCAGAACAAGCAAAAGTTCGGCAGGAAACAGCAAGCAGATAGGAGAAGAGGGGGGAGAAAAACGAAACTGAAGGAAAAGGAAAAGATGCCCAGCAGAATTGGAGAGGACGGCAGCAGGAGCACAAGGCTAGAAAAGGACAGAGGACTGTCCCAAGGAGCATCACACTCCGGCAGCCGCCCACTAAGCCCCCACACGGCGACAACGAGCCGAGCGGGGAGGGGGGGGGGGGGGGAAGTCCAAAGAAATAACCAAACCATGCAAAAGGTAGGCAGGAAACTACAAGCAGATAGGGGGGGGAACAACGAAACACAAGGAAAAGGAAAAGTCGTTCAGCACAATTAGAGGACAGCAGCAGCAGCTCAAGGCTACAGGACAGTTCTGTCCCAAGGAGCATCACACTGGCAGTCGCCCACCAAGCCCCTCCTCACGACAACAACGAGCTGAACAGGGAGGAGAGGCCGCGCAAGATAGCGATCACGGCGGTCCTGGAGATATTGGAAGCCTGTCTACATACAAGCCGAGGACGGGAGTCACACGAAAGGCACCAGAACTGAGGCGCAACCCAGTATGGTGCAAAGCATCAAGACAGCGAAAAGTAGGAGAAGCAGACGAGTAAGCAGGGCATCCATAAGCGAGCTTAGACAGGACAAGCAAGGAGAGTGCCTATCCGAGGGAACAGGTTAAAGTCGCCGTGTGGCTCAGTTGCCGAGCTACAGCAACGATTGGCCGGGAATAGGTAGTCGTCCAATAAGTATGCAATCTGTGGTATGTCCGAGACCATGACCCTTGTTCCTCTTTAGTATTACCAGCTCGAATGCTAATGGTAAAGAGATCTCTCTCCTGTGCCCACAGGTAACGGTATCAAAACCTATTCTTGGCAAAAGACAGTCACCGTCTTATGGACATTGTGTCGCGCATCAAATTTTATTCATGTCTAAATTAACTTTAATGTACTTTTAGGCCTGTGGGAGAAATTTTTTTGGACCGAATGCTTTGACCAATATGGTATTTATGTTTTGCAGGAGATACTAGAGTCCAATTCAATTATCAATAACTGGGGTGGCGAGGTCATTATGATTAGACCAATATTCTAAACCCTTTTGGGCAAAAAAAGGCTAACCATGGATAAACAAATTTAAACCATCAATTTTTTATTTCTGCATGTACAGAATGCCGTATTTCCGATTATGTTCCCAACCACGTTCGTCCAACTCTTCACCCAGATATTACCGAAATGTTTACTAGTAGAAAAGTAAAGGGGGGGGGAGGGGGGGGGAAGACATTTCTTTATCATTTTTAATGCAATCATGGTAAAACTTATTCAAGGGGCATTTATTTTATTAAGCTTTTTTTTCTAAGTCATTGTCAGACTTCATTTCATGAGATTTTTTACCATAGCGAGTACCTGCTTGTGTAGAGACAAGTGTAAATTATTAAGTGTTCTGTAGTAACAGTCTTCGGCATAACTATTTTATGCCCCAACAGTAGGGCAGATCTAACAGTTATCAAAGAAAAAAACTACAAAATGCTCGAGCTAATTTAAGCTCTTAGTTCATTAATGCGATTTAATATCAGTCAAGACATGCAATAAATTAAGCATAGTATCTGGCGGTGGTGGAAGTAATTGTAGTGGTTACTATTTGAGTGATGGTAGTTACTATTTCCTGGAAGAGTTCTTGTGTAGTTACCACAGGGACTGTCTGGATCTGCAAATAAACATGGTTGAAATTTAAAATAGAGTTTAAATAAGTTTATCGAGGTAAAATAACGAAGGGACGAGGTAGCTCAACATGACTGAAGTGTGTATAATCAAGTTAACACTTTCACAAGTTCAAGATTACATGGTTACCTCGTGAGTGACAGCCACGTGGGTGATGGTCTGCCAGTATTTAACCGTATCTGTTGTGGTGACGAACTGACTGTAGGCAGAGACCATTGTGCTCACTGGGTAGACCCCCACCGTAGCCGTTACAAACACTACCGGTGTGGAGGTGACCCTTATCACAGAGGTCACCGTCTGTGGCTGCTGGGGAACAAACTCCCATTGTGTGGTTGTCTGGGTGACCGTCAGGGTGATCGCTGTCTGCTCAGTAACCCAGACGTCAGAGGTGGTAGTCTCCCGCAGAGTGTGGGTCAGGGTAGTCTGCAATATTATACAACATTAACAATGTTAAAGTAAATTAACATGTCAGTAAGATTTAATAAAGTAAACGCTATGCTACCAACCTCAGTAGTGACGGTGGAGGTTGTAGGAGTGACGATTGGCAGGGGCGCGTGGGTGCCGTAAGGTTGGTATGCCTGTCCCTGGATCTGTCGAGGAGCAACTTTGTCTAAAAAAAATTTTAATACTAGCTGTACCTGGCCACGCGGTGCTGTGGCTCTGCAACCTTTCCCCTGCTCGCAGTCCTCCCCTTCCATCCATTTTTCCACTCTTCGTCCTCCCTACCATTCACCACTCCTCCCTACCATTCACCACTCCTCCCCACCATTCACCACTCCTCCCCATCCCCCCTACAATTCACCCCCCCCCCCCATGATTCTTCATTCCCCTGCCCCCCCCCCCATTACCCCCGCCCTTCATCTATCCCACCAGCCCCAACTTTTCCTCCATTTTCTACTCCCTTGTTCGATGCATTCCCAAATGATCTGATGTTCCCATCACTGAAATATAAAAATAAACAGTAAAAAAAATAATTTAAGTATACTCTTGAAATGTACGGTATGGTAAACAGCTTTATTCCAACGCTATTTCACAATATAAATCAAAATCTGAAAACTAAATTTGTCAATGCTATAAGAAACATTGCAATGAATCAACCTATTTAGTATAGCACCACGTTTGATGTAAGGATCAAGCTGGTGTATTTGATGTAAGTTGCTCTTAAGTGCAACAGATAGCTCCGTTTCTTAAGAGTTTACCAGTCACAGGTGTGGAATAACTAACTTAAGCTTTAGAAATGAACGTTATGGTAAACAGCTCTATTCCAAGGCCAAGTCACAAAATAAAGATTAAAATCTAAATTTATGAAAACTCAATTTATGGATGAAATTGAAACATTGAAATGGAATCTTCAGTATAGCACGAGTTGGTCTTTTGTACAACCCGTTTTCGCACTTACGGTCAATATTGGCTTATTTCATAAGTGCATATGTGACATACCAATTTTGAATATTTTAGTTTACCTTAAAAAGCTTCATATTAAACACCGACCTCACCTAACCTTAGCATGTTAAGATATGCATCTTTTTGCTTCCTAATTACAATTAAGACAGCCTATCAACGGTATAGGTTAAGTAATAATTGTAAACAAGAAGCAAGATGTTTATCTTAACATACTAAGAAGGTTAGGTCTGTTTTCTATGAAGCTTTTCAAGGTAAACTAAAATATTCACAATTAGTATGTCATATGCACTTAATAAATAAGCCAATATTGACTAAGCAAGAGCGAAAACGGGTTGCTTTTGTAATAGATGGCGCTGTTTTTTTCTAAAGCAGATGTTTTCACCCATCACAGGGTTGGCATCTATATAGTAGATATATAAAAAGCACCAATTCGAATGCAACGTTGTCAAAATTTCAAAGTAATCGGTAGAGAGATTTCGAAGATTAGCGATTTTGAATAAACTAATATTTATATAGGTTTCCGAATGTACTCAATATTTAATTACCTGGGCGATACAACAGAGGAAGAGTAGAGCAAGTACCGCCATCTGTATGGAAGAAAATGCAGTTTGTAATTAGAAATCAGATGCGTTCTTAGGTACCGTGATTAAGAACCATTAGACTTACTCTAAAACCTAAAGAGTTTGTCAATACTTATAGTGCTTTATCACACTTAAACCGGCTTAGAATGTCAAATTTTATATTTCGGTTTTAAGCCGTCAATATATTAGTGTTGGGAAAGTAGCCAGAACGAAAAATGCCCCCCCCCCCCCCCCACAGGAGTAGTTTGTAGCTTATTCATAGTCTAGAAATACGATCATTTTAGTTATTAACTTTTAGTGTAGACTTTAAATTTGCTTGGTAGTTTCATTAGAAATCGTTGTTCATATGAAGCAGTGTTTATTTCAATTGAAAAAGCCATAACAATAGTTAAAAACTTAAGCATTTAATTGCTTAAAAAGGCTTATTCAATAGTAAAAAAGATCTCATATCTACCGTAACAATTTTATTTAAAATTATTAAAAAAAAAATGCTCGGGGACTTCCCAGTTTGTTCAATGATAGATTTGTTGAGAACATGACGAATCTACAGAAGCTACCGATTAGGCGTAGTTTAGAAACTATTTCCAAAATAGTCATTTCTTAACAGGTCCTCAGCAGATCTTATACATAGCCAAGTTAAACAAAATATCAACAAATCTAAGAACACATATTTACTTAGTAAAACGACGAATAATTTAAGTGTATTAGGCAGAAACTATATAAAGAAAATCATGAATATTTGGCAGCAACATATAACAACTAACCTTTAACAACAGGTAAAGTATGAGAGAAGGTCCCACAGACACAACAGAGGACAGACTGAGGAGTGAAGGCGGGCCGGGCACCTCGTTGACTCAACACCAACATTTTAGGGGAAAGGTAGAAAGTTTCCCACAAAAGCTGCCAAGACCACCATAACAGCGCCATCTATTGACTGAACCGTCAGCTACGCTCCTTGTGGAACAAACTGGTGTGAAGACTCACAGAGCTTCAATATGTATTTATTTTTAACATTTCAAATATATCTTTGCGTGTTTATTTTATAATGATATTAAATTTTTTTTATTTGCAGCCTTTATATCGCATTACTGATTATTAGCCAAAAATTAAGGTTTTGCTTAAAATATTGTCTTTAGTCCTAGAATATTTAATTATGAGTAATTCTAGCACCGTAATCCAAAATGTATATATTTACCACTCAAGGCCAACACTCACAAATTGAGAAATAACACCGTGAGCTTAAATTCGTATATTCAACACCCTAGATCTACACTCACATATTGAGAAATAACACTGTAGCCTCAAAGACTATATTTACAACCATCTGCCTACTTGTCTCCACTATTACAGTTGACACTCCTCTCCCTCAGATCTGGAAGAAAATCCCTAAGATAGTGGGTATGTTAGTTCCAGATATCTCGCCAGTCAAGTTCAAGTACGTTTATTGAGACAATAAAATATATCTAGAGTTGCTTAGGCTATTTCTACCTTCATCTCCGTGGTTCTATTGTGGCGGATCCGGTGTCGATCGCATCCGAACTGGGTTCACACTTTTAGACTGTTAGCTCCGGTTCTCATCTTCCTCCCTCTTCTTCTTACTCGTAAGCCCCTTCTTGAATCTTGTCCCTTAGATTTCTGCACACATCTCCATTTCTCCTATAATGACCTTTTTTCTCTCCCGGAGTCATGACTCCAGTCTGCTCTGGCCCTCTGCCAGGGCAGAGGCCCTCTGTCACTCATGACTCACCATTCCTCCAAGACAACTTCAATTTGCGATTGATGCCGTACCGTCCTGGGCCAACATTTATGGCTTCTGGTTCTATACAAAGAAGAATGGTTCCATGAATTTTACTCAGAAGCAGGTCATTCTTCATCCCACTTTGTCGCTCGATGGCATTCCTCTTCTGTATTAAGTTTCTGCTAAACTTTTGGGGTTATTCATAAACACTCGTTTGTCTTTGTCGTCCCATATCTCCTAACTCCGAGTTGAATGCTCTAAGGACCCTAAACGTACTTAAGGTCTTGTCCCCAACCTGTCCTCTTAAAAAGAACGTCGCTTTTGGCCGTTTGCCCGTATGGCCGAATTTGGACGTAATTTGAAAATGAAAAAAAAAATGCATATAAATTTGGGATTTTTTTCAACAACAGTAAGTTAAGGGTCCTCTGATAGGTTAGGTGGGCAGGAAATTCTCATAAAGTTTCAAAACGTTATGAAAAACGTTAATGGAAAGAATCCTCTTTTAACCTTGCCGAGTAAGCCGGACGACTCAAACAGAAAACGGAACAGTACGTCACTTTTGTGAGTCGATTTCGTTTTAAATTACGTCCAAATTTGGCCATAGCGCGCATACGAGCGAAAAGTGACGTTATTTTTAAGAGGACGGGTTGTTGTCCCATACTTTCTGGGGCTCTGACAGATGCACACCTTTCTTTACATTCCTCTCTAGTGCTGTCCAAACACGATTATTGCTGTCCCGCTTACTCGTCTGCCTCTCCTTCAACTCATCGTTGTCTTGATGTTCTGTACCATACTGGGTTACGCCTCAGCTCTGGTGCCTTTCGTTCGTCCACTACCAGGAGCCTTTCATCCTGTGTCTATAGGTTCGTCGTCATCGCTATTGTCTTCGCTACATTGAGCAGTCCTTACAACGCCCTCACTCTCGCTTGCATCGTTCTTTGACCTTCATCTGTGGGGCCTGTTCCCCTTCACCAACTTCCCTTTTTTTGTCTCGCTTGCCAAGAAAACCTAACCTAACTGCATTATTTCTGCAGGCACAAATAGTAAATACACACACACACACACGCGCGCGCGCCTACAAAACAAGACAAAAAAACGTGTTTGCCTATAATCAGACCCTGAGTGTGTATACAAGATAACATCTGTGTGTAGGAAAGTATAACCAGGAGCCGCAGTAGCCCAGCTGTGTTGAGCGTTCTCTGGAGCCTCACAGTCCAGAGATCATGCCCAACATTGGGGATAATTAGATCATTTCTTTGTCACATATTACTTACTTAAAACGTTATTTTGTTCTTGTTTCTTCACGACGTAAAAAACGTAGATTTTTACGAGTTGCTTGCAAGATTCTCTGTTCCTGTTGCCAACATTTCTCCTCGTGTCGCTCTATCCTTGCCCCCATGGAGGTCCCACTTTCGAAGTTTTGCAAAACCTTGACCCATATGGCAAAGGATTCTACCCTTCCTACAGTTCTGAAAAAACAATTCCTTGAATATTTTTCCTCCCACTCCCACTAAGTGTACCGACGGTGTAGGCAGCTCCGTTGTATTTCCTGACCAGACTGATATGAGACTCCCGGTCTCATATCAGCTTGTGACTCCCTTAGCGTGTCCCCATTGCCTTCCTCCTTCTACCGTAACGGGCGGTGGGAAATTGCTCTAGCGAGATTAGGTATTGGTTATATACTTTTAACTCATGGACACTTAATGGACCACTGCCCTGCTGCTTATTGTCTAAACTGCAGTGTCTCTCTTTCGGTTGTGCATATCCTTATTGAATGTCCTGACTTCCAGAACGTGCTGGAAGTCTTGCTTCTTGACTAGTGAATCCCTGGTGAATCAGATACCTTTGATTTTGCTCGCCTTACCCACCTTTGTTCTAGTATTAGCATACTTAGTGATATTTAGCGCCTATTGAGTATCCTTTACATAGCCTTACATATGGTCTTGCATCGTATCCCTGGCTTGGTGCTTCTTCTTATAATTACTTCCTCCCATTGGTCCCTCCTCACCCATACTCCTCTTTCTCAATTCTTCACCATTTCCCATTACCTTTGCCTCACCCACTCAATTTGGTCCTGCCCCCTGTCCCTATACCCCCTCCATCCCCACTGATCTCCATATCTATAAAATTTATTTTTGTAGTTATAATTATAGTGTCATCATTCAATAAAATAAATGATATTTACATTGACAATAATAAACACTTTTGAATTGAGTCTTTCCTCCCCTCCCCTCCCCCCATCCCTTCTAGTTCTGAGAGAGAGAAGTTTAGAATGTTTTCTGGGATTTATTAGTTTTTTTGTTTTATGTTTTTTTGGGCCTTAGTTTAAAAGGCAGAGATTTTCTGTTAATTCTCTAGGGGCAAATGAATGTTATTGTATTTTAACAAGATGCTTTAATACTTTTCTCAATATTTGCATTGGTATTGGAATGGACAGAGCAAAAAATTGTGTGGCGTCTGAATGTGTCTCAGAACCTGTTCAATTGTCTGTCAAATTAGGTGACACTTGGCCCAAGGGTCTGGCCTACAACGTTGGACAGAAATATATCTCTCATGGCTACAGGTACACCAATAGAATCTCTTAACTGAAGATGTAAATACAAGGACTTCAAATTTGCTTCCCGCTTCGGTTAGTCCTTGATGAGATGGAACAGGGTGGGCTGGTTAGTGTTCTGCATGGGTAGTTGAGTGGCTCCTACTGGCCTCTAATGGGCCTGTTGTAGCGGTACACAAGCAAAGTGCCTCCAGTGTGTTTGCTGTGCACAGGCCCACTCATTCACTTATGTTCCATCATTTGGTTAAGCCTACCTATTGGCTGCAGCACTTGGGTGGGGGAGGGGTAAAATGCGAGGTTTCATGGCCCTCCTTAATGAGTCGCCTAGTTCACACATCGCGTCAACTGGACATTGTAGGGTTGCTGCTCCATTCAATCTTTGGGCTACTCTTAAGGCCTTTACATAATGACCCACGTATACTATTTTAGGCCCGTTGATCCTCGTGTGCTTGTGCCTTCCCTTGATGGGCTCTATGGTGGGAAGCGGTGCAGGGCTGAGAAGCCCAATTTCAAATCATGTGGGTCTAAATACATAACTATCTTAGGCTCTGAGAGGGCGTCTGGGCTCCAGAGTTGCACAGACGAAATATCGGGCTCCATATCTCCGGCTATGGTGGTTCCAGACCTTGCTTAGTCTTTGACTCCCATTTCCCCCCCCCCCACCTCCTGCCAGTGGACGGTGCCTTGGCACAGTGTGAGGACACTTGTGCCCCGTCCACAGGTCGGAGGGGGTAGCTCCCGCTCCCCTTCACTCTCTGCTGTGACGGGGCATAAGCTAAACACATTCCTATATGTTAGTGGTGTATGGAGATATCTGCTCTCCCCAGTGTCCTTCATCTAGAGGTTGAGCCGACCCTGTGGTTGATCCTAGGTGAGGGGGAAAAAGGTAAAGCTGGAGGTTCAGTGCAACCCACCTGAACCAATCGGCCCTCTAGTTAGTACCACCTAGACAGACATCGAGTCAAGCAGGCATTGTAGGATTGGTGTCCCTTTTGGACCCTGGGCTCCGTTCAGGTGTACATTCTCTCTCTATGCCTTTGCAGTTGTAAGAAACTATGCCATGCTTCTCCTAAGAACAGTAGCATGCTATCTATTTGCCCTTTCTATGGTGATCCTGGACATTATAGTACTGACACCTCTTCCTGAGCTCTCTGCATCAACTGCAGAAAAGCCCACCCTTCCTTCTCTTATACTTGCGTCCGTTGTAGGTTTAAACAAACCATCCTGTTCAAACCCCTCCTCCTTTCATGGATCTCCCTCAGAACTGTAGTTTGGACTTCTCTACTATTACTTATAAGTGTGAAGCAACACACGAGCATAAGCGATTGTGTGATCCACCGGGGATTGAACCCGGAACCTCAGAACTATGAATCCGAAGCGCTGTCTACTCAGCTGTCAGGTACGGGGCATACGTGCTGCCTGCTATCACCAGTTGGTGGTGCACCAGACTAGCGAGCAGTCTATTGTGTGGTCTGTGCCCGGCTTTCACCGAGTGATGGGGGGCCCCCTTGCCAGCCCATGCTGGGATCTCATCTGATTGGTCTAATATTCGGGACTTGCGGATTACCCTACTGTACATACAACGCGTTGTG